CAGCCAGCTTGTACCTCTGAGCTGTGATGGAGGCTCAAAATTACAAATCCACGAGGCACTGAACATCTGGATGGAATATGAGCTGTGGAAAAACCGTGCCTGTTGGTATCCATGGTGTCTGAAGTTAAGCAAAACAGTGCAAGGGGTAGGCTACGGAACAGACTAACAGAATCCCTTAAAAAATGTCACATTGTTTCACTGCATGAGAGTTACTGTGTTAGCAAGCGCCTTCTAGGCCCCCCATCACCCACAAAGTGAAGCTGTAGACTCACACCAAGAGGGTGTCAGCCCAGTGCTGGAGGAGGATTGTGAGTTGGAGACTAGCTTGGGCTACACAGTGAGACCTGGTCTCAAGAGACAGAAGACAGTCCATAAACATAACAGCCTTCAGGTTCCAAGGCTTGCTCTCCAGCCTCCTCTGAAGTCACCCTATGTTCACTGGAGCCTCTTATAGTTAGAAGCCTCCCTGAGCCTCTGACCCTACACAAGGGAAAGTTGGAGTCCTTCCTCAAAAATTGACAGGCACCGTGCTCCACTGGGAACAAATCTGAGACCACAGTAAAAACTCCCTGATGAATGTGTGGAACAGCTGTCACCAAGCCCACAGCAGGTCCCCTTGGCTTACTCCTGGGGTGCTTCTGTAGCAGCTCTGGGCTGTGGGTGCAAGGATCCAAAGGAGAAAGCAGGCTGAGTGGAAATTTGATGGGGTAGGCTTCAGGTCCTATGGCCCGAGACGTCCCAAATTGGCTGGACTCAACCAGATTCTTTTCTTTTTTTTTGGTTTTACGAGACAGGGTTTCTCTGTATTGTTTTGGAGGCTGTCGGTCCAGCCCAGTCTTGAACTCACAGAGATCCACCTGCCTCTGCCTCCTGAGTGCTGGGATTAAAGGCATGCGCCACCACCGCCCGGCTCAACCAGATTCTTATTCCTTTCTTAGGTCGACAATGTGGCTAGCTGTGTATCTACAGCTAACAAAGACTCAGAAAGGTAAGGGATGGCTTAAAAGACCCAGGAGCCGGGTCTTTAATCCCAGCACTCGGGAGGCAGAGGCAGGCGGATCTCTTGTGAGTTCGAGGCCGGGCTGGACCGACAGTGTCCAAAACAATACAGAGAAACCCTGTCTCGTAAAAAACCAAAACCAAAACAAAACAAAAAAAAAGACCCAGGAAGCTCAGAAAGTTGACAAGGCTCCTCCCATTCAAGAATGAAGATTGTTCACCCAGGATAGAGCCCTTTCAACAGTCAGATGTGTGGAGTAGAGAGGCCACGGTGCCGGCCCAGAGTCTGTCAGACCTGGACCCTGAGATGGGTGCAGCCAGCAGGAGCATGACCTGACTCTCCCTTGGCCCAGGGCCAGGCTGGGCAGTGCAAACTGACCACAGAGAGCTCACTGGGGACAAAGGAGAGTGACAGTGGGCCTACTAGTGGCCTAGGAGGAGGAGGCTGGATGGGCTATGGGGAATGACTGGATTCTGGTGGGCCAGTGTCCCCGAGTCATGCTGCTGTACCTAACACTGTTCTTCTGGCAAACAATTGTTACAGCAATGCTATCTTTTCCTGTCAAATTGGACCCTGCTGATATCTTTATTATTTATTCATTTGGGGGCTTTTTTCTTTCTTTAAGACAGAGTCTCACTACATAGACCTAGCTGGCCTGGAATTCACTATGAAAACCAGACTGACCTTGAACTTGAAGAGATTCACCTGCCTCTGCTTCCCAAGTGCTAGGATTAAAAGGTGTGAGCCACCATGCCTACCCCTGCTGAAGTTTTGTTTATCCTCTTAGCTGCTGGACCTGAAGAGCAACTTGTACTGGTCGGTAGGTAGCCTTTAGAGGTCCCGCTCACTCTCCATGGAAAGATTCCATTACATATTCAGTATAACAATAAACCTTGAATGTCTTACAGATTAAAAGAAAAAGCAGAAAGAACAGAAAAATAATGGTGAAAAAATATTTAAAGAGTGTATACTGGAGGCTAGGTGTGGTGGCGCACGCCTTTAATCCCAGCATTCTGGAGGCAGAGGCAGATGGTTCTCTGTGAGTATAAAGCCAGCCTGGTCTACAAAGTGAGTTCTAGGACTGCCAAGGCTCTGTTACACAGAGAAACATTGTGCCAGAAAAAAAGGGGGGGGGAGATGTATACTGGGGCATGGAAGATGGCTCAGCGAAATGTTTGCCTTGCAAACACAAGAGCCTGAGTTTGAGCCCCAGAATCCTAATAAAAAAGGCTGGGTGTGGTGGCATGCACTTGTAATCCCAGCACCAGGACAGGGAAGACAGGCAAACCCTTAGGTCTCTGACCAGTCAGACTAGTCGTGGCAAGTCCCAGACTAGTGAGAGATGGTGCCTTTAAAAACAAAAAAAGGTAGGTGGTACTTAAGGAACAACACATATATATGAAAATGCACATGCATACACATAGACATCCAAGGAAAATGCTCTGCACGTAAGTGGAAAAAAATTACTCCCAGAAGCCATAAGATTGTGAGGTGAAAACCCCAGGGCCAGAGGTGGGCTGTCTTCCTATAAGCTGTTGGCCAATGAGGCACCCACACCTAGAACTAGATGGTGAGACATCAAATGCCTTGGCTGAAGAACATGGAGAAATCAGGTTGGGGCTGAGCCAAAACTTCTCCCCTATTGGCTAGCTGGAAGTGTTTCTCAGGTTGTTAGTGTGAGATAGAATCTTCATACTACACTACCAACATGATAGGAGACATGTGACTTTGGTGCAATGATGATATAACTGTTCAGGGTGCAGCTAACTGCTTTTCAATTGGATCCTAAGACCTGCTCCACGGAAGGGAACTCACATTTGGTACTATAAGGGCAAATGGTCATGTGGTAACTGACAACAGCTGTCACTGCCAAGGCCGAGTCAAATCTAGTCCTTGAGGCAGGGGGGATGCCAACACAAGACCAAGAGTGGTCAGGGCTTCCATTAGGAGAACCGGTCATCACACCTCTTTGTCACTATCAGAATGGCTTCAATGTCCGCATCAGTACAACAGGAATGTAGATCTTTTTTTCTGTGACATCAAGAGTTTTTGGCTAACATGGTCAGGAAACTGTTCGAATCCCTGGAAGTGCTTCAGGGAAGTCTGGTCTGGTGCCAGCCAGCTTGTAGGCTGGCTACAAATGAAGCAGTCATTGAGCTAGCGGCTAATGAGAGCCATGATAGGTCTCCAATTCCCAGAATGAGCCACTGGGACAGCTGCATGCCAATCAGTGAACTGTCATTTAGAAGGCAGCTTCTATTAAAACATGACTTCCTAGGAGCTGCACAATGCAGCCCTGCCTCCCCCCCCCTGTGACCCCAGACTCCATCCCCAAGGTCTGCCCTTCCCCCAGCTTCCCAATTAGTAATTGACCCTCTGTCATCTTCCTTCTGAGTTAGAAACCAAAGCCAAGGGCCATGTTGTGGCTGATGCCACTGTTCCGCTGGCCCGGCTCCAGCCTAGATAGTATCTGTCTTCCTCAGCACCCCCTCACTTCCTCTCAGATGGGGATGCAGAGCATTAGGAGTTAGCAGCTGCCGCCAGGCACCCTTTAGAGGTTGATGAGGTAATCCCCAACGCAGGCTGACGAGAGCCTCAGGGTGAAAGGGGCTCTGTGTGGAGGAGAGAGTCTTGACTGTGTCTCTCCGTCCCCAGGAGTGCTTCACTGGTGTCCTGGCACCAAGCAGAAGAAAAGCTACTCCGGACTTCCTTGCCTCCACAAAAGCATCATTCACTCTACAGCAGACACAGACTGCAGTGAAGATTTCGGCACAGTGGCGGGCAGGAAGCCCTGTTGAGGTCACTGACCACCCCACTCCACCTATTTCAGGAATTCCTTTTGTAGTGGGGTAAGCATATGGCACCAAAAAAAAAAAAAAAATCAATCCCCAAAAACTGTGAATGCTGGCCATCTACTGTCACTTGGGCTGAGGGTTGCTAGATGCTGACTGGGCTGCCAGGGAGCGTCGGGACAGGGTAAGTGCTGTGGAAGGTGGCTCTGGTTGGCTTGGTGGCCCACAGAGGAAGGTCGGAGAGTGAGGGGAATGCATCTGCACCTGACAACTGTGAGGAGAATGGGACAGTGATGGTCATTAATGTAGCAGTGGGTACCAAAAAAAAAAAAAAAAAAAAAAAAAGCCGGGCGTTGGTGGCGCACGCCTTTAATCCCAGCACTCGGGAGGCAGAGGCAGGCGGATCTCTGTGAGTTCGAGGCCAGCCTGGTCTACAGAGCGAGTGCCAGGACAGCCTCCAAAACTACACAGAGAAACCCTGTCTCAAAAAAAACAAAACAAAAAAAAACAAAAAAAAAACAAAAAAACAAAAAACAGTTGAGGTTCTAGGAAATGGTTCAGCAGTAGACACTTGCTGCCAGGTTGAACTACTTGAATTTAATCCCCAAGACCTACACTGAAGAAGGAGAAAATTGACTCCTGAAAGTTGTTCTCTGACCTCCACTTGTACACCCCCCTCCCATAAATAGTAAATGTAATTTTTAAAACAGTTATTTGGGGGAAGTGGTGGCACAGACCTTTAATTCTAGTACTGGGGAGGCAGAGGCAGGAGGATCTCTGAGAGTGCCATGGTAACTAGGGCTAGGCAGGGAAACCTTTTCTCAAAACAAAGTTCTTTTGCAAACTTACAAACAAAAACAAAGGTGTGACCTCAGGGCCACTACACAGGTTGTAGGAATGCGAAAGTGATGTGGCAAGTCCTTATCTGGTGGCTGCTCCAATGCAGGAGAATCAAACTGAGACCATGAAGGGCTCCATGGGGACCTTCAAATGTGTGTAAGAGCAGCTTAGGTTAGATGGCATTTTGTAGTAAGTCAATTTACAACCCCCACGTCACTAAAGTGACTCTCCTGGCGTCATCCTGGCTGTAACTCTGTTATTAGGTCATCTAGAAGTTGCTCCAGTCAGTAATGCAGGCCTGTCTTACACTGTCACAGCAAAGTGGAAAGAGAAACATAACCATAAAAAAAAATAAAGTAGAAAACAACTTTACAAACCAAGAATATAGCATTTTATTCATTTCCAGATTATGTGTATTACACAACATATACATATATTTAGATAACATATAAAAGAAAGAATAAATTGTAGGAAAAAGTATTGGTCTGGATCTGCCTTGTAGGACGTCTGTAAATCCGTGCATCTGTTGTACGTGTGTCTCACATGCCAGGGCAGGCAGCACAGGAAACCCCAGCAGTTGTGTGTCACTCAAAGCTCTGCTTTCCCCACTGAACTTAGAATGCAAGTAACAGAACTGTGGCATGGTCACTGGTGTCCATGACAAAGACACCAAGTGGTAAATGAGCCATAGCACAGTGGATTATTAGATGGTTTTGCATTGTCTCTATGTAGTTTTTTTTTTTAAACTAAGAGTCATGTCCAGAGTCTGTCCCCTTAGATGCCGTGCAGTTATTGCTGAAGGAGAAAAACAGAAAAGAGCAATCAATTTCAGCTATTAGAAAACTGAAGGTCAATGACACCAGTCCCCTATTTTTCTGATGATAACCGGGTGGACACTGGGCTGTGGGGACACAAGCGTAGCTGGAACAGGAAAAGTGCACACAAGTGTCCACAACTGTACCCTGCTTGCTCACTGAGGCTGACCAAGAGTCAGCCAGAGGGTATTCTTCCAAGAAGACCCATGAACAGGACATAGGGTGGCCTGAGAGGGGGAGGGGAGATGCACCGTGGTGGGGGAGCAACAGAACAGGTCACAGCCCATCCTCAGCTTGGTGATGCTATGCTGGAAGGAGAACTAAGAGGTGCCAGCAAGCCTCCAGGGTCAGTCAGTCAAGGGGATGTCCTAGGCCATGGCTCCCCACCCCCTGGCTTCCTTAAGGAAGGATGTCTTACTTTGGCCTTGTTCTGAACTGGAAGATACAGTTTGAACTCTGCCGGGAGCTCATCTTCTGAGTAGAGTCTGTCTGAGAAATAAACCCTTCGGATACGACAATTTGCATGGATCTGTAGAAACAAGACTCATTTTGACAGGCTAAATACAACTGCTTGCTCTTTGCCTGATTCACCCAGAAGCCCTCTCATGGTACTCCCAAAACTTCATCTCCATTAGCAAATTGGCTTTGCTTTGGGGTAGATTCCAACAAGAGGGGGATTCAGGGGCCGGAGAGATGGTCCTTGGTTAAGATAACTTACTGTTCTTGCAGAAAAAAAGACCGGGGTTCAATTTCCAGTACCCACACCATGGCTCACAGCTATCTGTAAATCTAGTTCTGGAGGATCTGATACCCTCTTCTGACCTACTCAGGCAAACATGTAGTGCACATACATGCAGGCAACATAGTCATATACACAAAACAATCTAAAAAACATTCGAGGGGGTTAGAGAGTTGGCTCAGTGGTAAGAACACTTGTTGCTCTTGCAAAGGACCCAGGTTCAGTTCCCAGCACCCACACAGTATGTAGCTCACAACCACCCCTACCTCTAGTTTACAGAATCCACTAGCCTCTTGTGGCCTTCTAGGGTACCAAGCATGAACATGGTACACAGATGTACTTGCAGGCAAAGCACACATACACATAAAATAAATGTACAAATTTTTAGAAAAAAAAAAAAAAAAAGGAGCCCGGTGTTGGTGGCACACACCTTTAATCCCAGCATTCAGGAGGCAGAAGCAGGAGGATCTCTGTGAGTTCGAAGCCAGCCTGGTCTACAGAGCGAGTTCCAGGACAGCCTCCAAAGCCACAGAGAAACCCTGTCTGAAAAAAAAAAAAGGGAAAGAATTTTGATTGTTGAATTTATCTTGTTTGAGTAGACCTCAGAATGTTCTCTGGACCTTTTCCAGGCCAAACCCCCTGAACAGTGCCTTGGGAACTTTGGCTAGAAGCCCCACATTGCCCTGTCACACGTATGGAAGGTGAAGTACCTGCACTCTCAGGGTCTCGATGTAGTTTGTGCCATACGCCCGCCGGGTGAAATCAGACAGGTTGAACTGAATCTGGTTCCAGCCGTCGTCCAGCCGCATGGGCATGGTACAGATGAAAGGTTTGACACGGGTGGTGCTCTGGTAGTTACTTGCTCGAAACCGCCGACGAACATTTTTGTCATCTAGTACCTGCAGCACCCGGAGGAGGCCCACACTAGCTCCATGTTCTCAGGCTCAGACAAGCTTTAAGACAAGAATCTGAGCCTCCACGGCCTGGTTCCCAAGGCCAAACCCCAGGGAGAATAAACAAGCCAGAGACAGGTCACACTGGTCACAGATGGCCCGGAAGTAGTAAGTTTATCTTATTTGTTGTCAAGACAACAGCAGCTGCGATGACATATGTCACAGCCAGCAGGCGCTCAGACCATAGAATGAGTCATATTTCTTTCCTCTAAAAACTCAAAACTATTAAAACTGAAACACTACTCAACATTAAATATTCACTCCCTGAATGGCATGTTAATCTTTAAGCCTTGAACTCTTGGAGCCATTGATTAGACTTTCTGGGTACTGTTCCTTTTGAAGCCTCACATTAAAACTTTGGTTGTGAACACCAAACTTACACTCATGAGAGCTGCATGCAGAGGCAGGAAAGAGCACACACTACAGGACAACAGGCACGCCTACCGCCTGGTTCCTGCACACTCACCTGTACCTCAAATGTAAAATACTTCTTCAGATTTTTGATGATCATGACGAGGAAAGGCAGTTTGATTCCCAGTGTCTTCTTGGGGTCTGCAGGACATGTGATGTATGTGGTGCTGTCAGCAGAAACACCGAGGAATGGGTTGGTTACTTGCTGTGGTGTGTACAATACCACATGATCCAAGAGTAAAAATTAGAAACCAGATCTAAAGGATCCAGCTTTGTCACCTAATGAACCCCTCAACAGTTCAGCTAATGAACATTGTTTTTAAATGCCAAGACTGGCAAGACAGAGCAGTGGGCAAAGGCACTTGCAGTCAAACCTGATGACCAGTTTGATCCCTGGAGCCCACAAGGTAAAGGAGAAAACTCTGATCTCCAAACACACACCATGGCATGAGCACCATCCTCCCTTCCCTATGCACATACAAAATGAACAAAATAAAAAGTTAAGTGTCGAGTATAGCGATCTGCAAGGCTGTTGGAGGCCAGGAGATAAAGGCTAGTTTGGGCAACATGAAAAGATCATGTCTTTAAAAATCAAACCCAGCCAGGTGGTGGTGACATACACCTTTAATCCCAGCATTTGGGAAGCAGATCTCTATGAGTTTGAGGCCAGCCTGGTCTACATAGTGAGTTCCAGAACAGCCAGGGCTACATAATGACACCCTGTCTTGAAACCTCCACCCAGAAAAAAAAAAAAACTAAACAAAAGAACTGACTCAAACAACAACTTGAGACCAAAAATAAAGTATCCGGAAAACAGTCTTGGAAGTACTTCTAGTAAAAGAAGACTTCAATTCTAAGGTAAATATGGAATGATAAAAAATTTAAAAATTGGGTTATTGAAAACTGTAACAGCTGCAGCTGGGTAATCAGAGCATTCTTCTATACTCTAGGTGAACAGCAATAACACAGCTAACTGCTCTCTGTGCTGGGCATGGGTCTGAGTGTCATAGTTGATCTTCACACTAACCCTACAGGAAAACACCCCCATTTTGCAGATGAGGAAATGAAAGCTGAGATTAAGCAAACTGCCTGATATACAGTGCTGCAAACAGTGCAGGGGATCCACAGACAGCCGGATCCTGTTAACACTGGGGCATACTGCCCTCCCATGCAGCACTTCTAGAATAGAGCTGGCAACCTACCTGACATTTGTCCCTTCAATCTCTAGCACCAGGGACTGGATGTCATTGTCAGTGATTCTTTTGATGTGGCCATTCCGTACCTATAAAGGAAAAAAATTTGTCAGGGTTGCAGTGTTTGACAACAGCCTTATAAAAATTCTGAAGACTGAATGAGCCCATTGGAGGAAAAGTGGCCCAAGAACACATGACACACAAGTTGGTAACAGCATGTCAAAGCCTATGCACAAAGGCGCATTTCCTCCACCTGTCATTTGGAATAAATTCCTTTCTGATTCAGACTCAGCTAACATTTGCTCTTTATTCTGTAACAGCAAAGTTCATGTATATTCTTATTCAACTCCTACAGCAGCAATAAAAACAAAGGTAAAGTGATAAGAGTCCCATTCTCAGACTGAATGTGGCATCCAAGGACTGTAAACGGGAGGTCCCAAGTAGGAGAATGGGTATCCTAGACCTTCCACTAACCATAGCTTCTTTGTCCACAGAGATAATAAACTACTGTCAGCTGAGCATGGTGGCCCACACCTTTAATCCCAGCACTTCAGAGGCAGAGGAAAGTAGATCTCTGTGAGTTTGAGGTCAGTCTGTCTATACAGTAAATTCCAAGATGCCCAGGGCTATATAAAGAGACCCTGTCTTAAAAACAAAAAACAATGAAAAGGTCACTAAGAAGGAAGGTATCAGGTGAAGAATGTTGATGCACACCTCAAATCCTCAAATCTAACTACTAGAAAGCTAAGGCAGGCGACTACTTTGAATTACAGGCCAGTCTGGCCTACATTGGAGACCTTGTCTCAAAGAAAATGTGTATTTATGTGTGTGTGTCCCTTGAGTTTACTCCTACTTTTCCTTTACCTTCTTTTATATCACTTTATACTCTTCTTAAATATGAGTTCAGATCCTTTCCATACCATGCACAGACATCTTCATTTTCAGTCAAGTGATCTCTCTCTTTTTTTATTTTCTTTCCTGGCTCATGTTGCCTAGATGGCCTAATTTAGCACTATACATACATATACATACATACATACATACATACATACATACCTATATACAGGCATTCATACTACATATTAAACATTAAATATTAATTTTCTTAAAATAATTAGGAATAAACAAGCATTTCTGAGCACCTAACCCAGAAGCAGCTAATATGGAAAAGATCAATAGGTATAGAAGAGGCTACAGGAAAAAGAAAAACCGTGTCTTCTGGGTATGACAAAAATGGCAGTGTTGGCTTCATAATCAATGATTCAATCTCACTGACTAAATCTCCTTGTTCATTAATCAGCATGCTGATTACAATTTTATTTTCCATTACATTTGCATATAGGGAGCCTGACAACAGACTTTTGGGATATTTGTACACTGTGAAGATATACAGCTGTGATTGGTTTAATAAAGAGTTGAACGGTCAATAGCTAGGCAGGAAGTATAGGTGGGACTTCCTGACAGAGAAAGGAAGTAGAGAAGATAACTGAGGTAGAGAGGAGGCACCAGTGGGGGTGGTGCAGGTATGGACAAACAAAATGGAAAAAAAAAAAGTAAAAGCTACAGGCAAAACAGATTAATATAAATGGGTTAATTTAAGTTACAAGAGCTAGCAGCACAAGCCTAAGCTAAAGCTGAGCTTTCATGACTAAGTCTCCCTGTTGTTCTTTATGAGCTGGCAGTGGACAACAAAGCTTACTACACAATACTTTTCCACACAGCTCCGTGCTTTCCCATCAGTTTCTGTGTGCTCTGTCACTGAGTTTGATCTATTCTCATTGCATGTGGTGTTTCCCGGTGACATCTGGAACCACTGCCCATCTTGTTCTACAACTGCAGTGGACTTGTCTGTGAAGCTCAGCCAAGAGTGGGATCAAATACCATGCAGCCTTAGGATCTTCTTCAGTGCTCAGTTCTGTGTGAGGCATAAGCTAAGCATTCAAATATGTGCTGACTCTGGAATCTGTCACCTTAAGAGCTGGCACATCTGAATAGGTTCAAGGAGGGCTTTAAACATTCCTGGATAACATATCGACCATGGACTGTTTATAATAGCAAGTTGGAGATCATGGGAGCATCAGAAAGCACGTGAAGCTAGTGGCATAAGAAGGTTTCTTACAAAACACCCTTTGGTGCCATTTTCAGACACAGAATTCTGGGCTAGATGGGCCTCTCAGCTCTGCCAATGGAGCAGTTCTTGGGTTGTCAAGACACAAATGTCACATTGAAAAGCTTCTCAAACAAAGCTGGACACACTCAATGCCCTCCTGCTTTGAATTCTGGGCCACTTTCCAACAGAGATTAGAAACACAAAGGCTTAAGTCTGTGTAGAACATGCCAGCACTGCCCACCTCCTCCAATGCTCCCAACCAAAGTAGCAATATTTCTCCTCTATATTTTGTGGAAAATTTGGCAACTTCTTGAAGGAGGAATCTGTCAAGAAATTATTTACAAAAAATGTGCTATAGCTCTACTGGTAAGAACTGGGAGCATTCCAATAAGATACAATATTAGTTTTATAACATATTACTAGTTATTCTCAATAACATAAACATTTCTTCTTTAAAGAGTAGCTACAAAAAAAAAGTAGCTGCAAGGGCAGGGAATTCAAGAAACTAATAAGTAATTAGGTCCTCAAGTCTACTACTATTGCTAGAAGGCAACATGTTGCTATTTACCCAACATTGTTTCAAATCATGGAGTTAATCTTAACATTTCCGAAAAGTTCTCTGTCCAGAGTCAACAAGAGGTCTCCCCTGGCTCAGAAAGCAGCCAGTTCTCACAGGGAGGAACTGTGAGGAAATTGGCCTTCTTCCCTTCTCCAAGTTTACAGCTTGCAAATCTGACCCACTCAAGTCCTTAGAAAGGGAACAAAGCCTTCCAAAGCATGCAGAGGGCAACAGCTCTCTCTGTGTGCTAGGATGAACAGCTAGGATGAACTCTAGAATCCCTGGGCCTCTCTTCACCCAGAGGCAAGTCAACCTGATTTGTTAGTAAATCACAACCTCCCCTCCCCATAAGACACCTTTCAAAGGGCTACAAACACAAAGGAGTGGAGTGCTGATGACTGGGATAGGAGAGTTCAAGGACAGAGGACTTCTCAAAGTCTCTTCTTTAAGGCTCCTAAACAAGGGAGTGGTTCCTGGGGCAAGGTTTCCACCCTCTGCCCTCTAGAAATGACTACATTAAATTATAGACCAAGCTGGGGTGTGGTAGTGCATGACTGAAAAACTAGCACTTGGAAACTAGGAGGATCTCAGTCTTGAGGCTAGCCTGGTATACAAAGAAAATTTCATGCTAGCCAGGGCTATACAGTAAGATCCTGTCTCCAACAAAAACAAAACACAACAAAGACACAGGCTGTCATGGCCTTCAATTGTCCAGGCCTTCCAGGAAGTCAGCCCGTCCTCTGAGCAGCTCCTCATAAACACAAGTGGTAAGATGTATGTCTCCGAAAGTCCCAACTTCCTTTCCTTAGCTCAGAGTTCACCGGGCAGGCCTGGCCTTCGGATGAACATAAAATGTATCTGCTGATATTTAGTACTCAAGGCGGAAGCAGATTTCACTTAACTTCTTCCTTTAATTAGTGTGCACCGCTTCTGACATTAATCCTTTCATCCATGATATACTATCACAGTCAGTGTGGCCTATGAGTATTCTTTTTTTTTTTTTTTTTTTTGCTTTACTATCCTGTGGTGATATTTATGATTTATTAAAGCTTGCCTGAGGATTCAGAAAGTAAAGTCAGCCTCAAGCCATAGAAGCCAGGCATACACCTTTAACCCCAGGACTCAGGATTAAGAGGATCTCAGTGAGTTCAAGGCCACCCAGATTTACTCAGATTGATCCAGTCCTAAAGAGAAACAGCTCACACACAAAGAAGATCTCAGTACCTGGGTTCACACACCTTTAATCCCAGCATTAGGGAGGTATATAAAACAGGAGCAAGATCTCAGTATCAGCCATTGATTCTCCAGTCACACTGAAGATAGGAAGGCTCAGTATCAAGGAGGATAGGAAGGCACTCGGTCCCAGAATTCTCCAGCCACGCTGAGGAGAGGCAGCAGGATCAGCCTGAGGTAGTGGGAAGAGCTAGTGGCCCATTGCTTTGTTTTCTGTTCTTCAGCTTGAAGTCTGAACCCAAATATGAGTCACTGGGTCTTTTACTTTTTGTGTTACACTATCCATTTACTAATACTTAAAATTTGGGGCTGAAGAGATAGCGTAGTGGTTAAGAACACTTGCTGTTCTGGCAGGTGCCAGGTTTGGTCCCCAGCATTCACCCAGAGTCATGTTACTCCAGTTCTAGGGCCTCTGATGTGCTCTGCCAGCCTCTGCAGGCACTTGCACTCACTTGGTGAACATAAACGCTATCTGGCAAGTGCGCATGGGGACACGCACATACACTCAAGCAAGCAAGCAAGCGCGCGCACGCACACACACACACACACATCTTTAAAGTTGGTGTGATGGAGATGCACTTTTGGATGTCCACTAGGGTGCTTCCAGAGGAGTTTAAGTGAGGAGTGAAGACTTACAAAGTGGGTGGCACCAATCTACCTTCTGCTCTTTCTTACTCCACCATTGAACAAAAAGGGCAAAAGATTACAGTCAAGATTACAGTCAAGCCGGGCCTTGGTGGCGCATTCCTTTAATCCCAGCACTCGGGAGGCAGAGGCAGGAGGATCTCTTTGAGTTCGAGACCACCCTGGTCTACAAGAGCTAGTTCCAGGACAGCCTCCAAAGTTACAGAGAAACTCTGTCTAGAAAGACAAAAAAAAAAAAAAAAAAAAAAAAGATTATAGTCAAAATTCCTGGTCTGATTCCTGGTCTTCACAGGTGAGGAGTCCTAGCTGCATGTTCCTGCTACCATGAACTTGGCCATGCCTTTCTCCCTACTATGAACTAATTCCTCCTTGAACCAAAAGCCAAAAAATAACTTACTTACCTTAAGTTGTTGTCACAGCAACTAGAAAACATGCAAAGTAACAGGTTTAACAGGCACAGTGGCTAAGGCCTATAATCTCAGAACTAGGAAACTGAGGCAGGAAGACTGCCACATGTTTATGGCTGCCTTAGGCTTTGTAAC